TAGAACATGATCTAACCTATGCTGCGTCAAAACTTCTGGCTTGATTTACGATTTTCTATCATACTTTATCTCTAAGGTCTTGTTAAAGTATGTGGCGCAATAAAAGTAACTCGTATAATGGCTTTACTTGTCCTTAATTTTCTGCAACTTCTCAGTTCAGTAGGTTTCAACTTCAAACGTGTAAATTTGCCAGCAGTTTATCCATTTAAAATAAATTGCGACAACTTAAGTAGCTACAATTCGCCGAAGAATATGGTTATAATTTGTGTGTCTAACTCATTAATTTGTGTATACAAGCATATATTAATATATATAATTACAATATTAATATTAGTCCATTATTGTTGTTAGAATTGATGCCCATGAAATCGTTTCTTGAAAAGTGTGCCTAAGATATTATTTGCGTAATAATTTTTCTTTGAATATTTTACCCAACAAGATCCACATGAAGACTGGTCTCGAATCTTCTTAATTGATGGGCATTCAGGCCAATTTTTACGGGCATCGAAGTCCTCGGAAGGGTCTGCCGCACCCAGGCTTTCGCTTTTCAAAAGGGGTAGTTGCATAGCCTCACAGTTTGGTAGTACTCCAAGGACGGCTATAATGTCATCAACAGTATAAAAGCGTGAGGTCTTTCCTGCCTTCCAGGTGCTGTTGAGCTTTTATGAAAAAAAAGCAAAACTTGGCATAATTAAGGGGTGGAAAAAAGATGAGATAGATTATAACCTGTGGAAAAATGGAAAATAATATTTGTCAATTATTAAAGTATAAATAAATAAGCGGGTTATTAGGGCTTTACCAGTCTTGCATTAATAGCCAAGGAGTTTAGCTGACTTTCAGGCGCTTTGCCAATTCGCCACCCACATGAAGCGTGAAGATAATATATATTGAAAGACAACTACTTAAATCCAATACTAGCAGTTCACTGTGAGAATAGACAGTCAATTTCTCAAGCTTAGCAAGAACACAAGGAGAAGAGCTGTAGTATACAAAAAAGCCTTTCCCCTTAATGTACCGTTTTACCTCAACTTTGTTCATCCCATTTAGTAGGGCCACCAATAACTATTTCTTCCTGTACCACTCTTTTTACATTAGTTAATATTTACTCCCTTGCCTGTGTCTTTTTAAGATTTCCAAAGAAAAATGGACAATTTTTGGCATAAATTAAGATTTTATTATCATTCAAATTTTGCTTGCTGTTCTGTGTCTTATTATCATTCTTATTATTAGCCAAATTTTAATCTCAGCAATGGATAAACAACACTCTAGCTAGGATATTATCGATGTCCTTTCACTGAGAGACAAGGCATTTTAGAATAATATGTATGTATATAGTACGGAATCATATATGGAGAGTAATCGCTGTGGGCTAAGATCCTGCACAAAAATATCTGTATTAGCGTGGTCAGTTTAATCTCAGGACATTATTCAGATTTTCAGCATGCAGATAAAGATTTTAGACCTTAAAGCAATAAATCGTTTAATAGTGAGTGGGTTATTTTATCTCAAATTAATTGCATTTCTTCATTGGACAGCTATTTTAAGGTTATAAGTGTTTTTTCTCGCTTGAGTTGCTTTATCCTAGTGCATTTTGGACTCCTTGGCCATATTATTCGTATGTAAGTAGAGTAATGAGACTACCGACATTGAAGCATGGAATTTATATATTTTCAGACGTTACATCGACGTCGTCACTAAGCATAGCCATTTTTAGCACCACACTAAAACTTTTATATTTGACGTCTGGGAATAAACCAAGTCCATGTAAAGGAGCTGGTAATTAGCCCCCTTCATCCTTGTGTTGAGAATGTCGACCAGAGTCTGTCATATTCTTACGTAGTCTCTTCCTATCAGAGTCTCCTTCTTGCCCCGTAGAATCCATCTGCTATCTCCATGATACACCTATTTTACTCGACCCCTGCCCCCTATCCGTGCTACTCGAAGCGTTATTCGCCCTCCCCTGCGTCTTGGTGAATAATTCGAGACTAAAGCCTTAGAGTAAGTATCATGGTCATGCCTTTGCTACATGGACCACGTCTTTTGTAAAGCCTACTGTCAGCCAACTAGCTCCAATCGCCTCCGCGTCAATCTTGTCTCTATTTCTAATACCAAGTCTATAACTTGCCATGCCATAGTCTCTTGTGTGCTAACCCACAAATGTTGTGGTACTGCTTGCTTGTCGGTTTGATACACAAACCCGCATAGAACCTAATCAAAGCAAGCAGTACCACAACATTTGTGGGTTGGCGCACAAGAGACTAGGACATGGCAAGTTATAGACTTAATATTAGGAATAGAGATAGGAGAGACGCGGCGGTGATAGGATCTAGTTGGCTGACTGTAGGTTTTACAAGAGACGTGGTCCATGTAGTAAAGGCATGACCATGAGACTTACTCAGAGGCTGTAGCCTCAAATAAGTCACCCATACGCAGCGGAGGGCGAATAACGCCTCGAGTAGCACAGATGGGGGGCAGGGGTCGGGTGAAATAGAAGTACCAGAGAGATAGCAGACGGATTCTACGAGGCAAGAGGGAGACTCTGATAGGACCCAGGGAGGGACTACGTAACAATATGACAAACTCTGGTTAACATTCTCAGCACAAGGGTGAAGGGGTTGATAACTACAGCATGAAGTGTGAAGGACTTTCATGAAAGCCGCTCAAAGGAGCACACTACACTATGTCGAAATAAGTACGGTACAAATTGTAACAGTGAAGGCGTGATAGGAGGATATAGAAAATGTGAATAGCTAGGGCAGAAGAAGAGATGCCACAACTTTTAATACACGTTTGGTCAAAGGATGGGCTTCACTTGTCTCTTTGACAAGCTGTACTATGGTACTACAAATGGCGAGACTCACTAAAGATGCCGACTACGATGCAGGCGAAATGTCTGGGAAGGTACCACGTCCACGGTCCGACTTTGGAAATGATCATGCTTACAATGGACTCCGGACTAGGTGTATCCCTCCAAGTATTCCTACCAATGCGACCTATTTGTGAAAACAAGGTCAAACAAATTCTATAAATAAGGCTTGTTTAGAGATAGATAATGTT